CATCAAATTATGGGGTAGAGCTTTTTAATTTAAAGTTTGACATTCAAGTATTGCAATGTCTTATTGTATGCCAGAACTGACCATCTGACCACATTATTTTAAATACAGTGTGACTCAATCTGAAGCTTGTGTTGTTCATTGCAGATAATTTAAATAGACCGCAAAAGCTAGTTAATCAATACTTTAATGCTGTTGTACTGAATATCACTATGGCTGCAGGTAATCAAAACAATCAATTACATTTAGAATTCAGTACAACCATTAAGTTTGTGAGACACTTTTGGAATACTGTCTCTGTAATAATAAAATAATATTGTGCTGTACCGCATACCTTGTCAGTGTCATACGCTTGCTTAGCCCTTTGTTGTGATAAACAGTAAAGTGTTTAAGCGCTAGCAAAAGACAGTGTAAAGAAATACTCTTTGAGAGAAGCAGTCAATCAGCGGAAGTTAAAAGCAGATCGTAAGTGTATTTATTTCTTGTCTCATTAGTGTTTAGCGCAGTTGTCGTTGCTAAGAAATGCTTGTTTTGTTTACTGTGCTGAGACGTGCTGAAGTTGCATTTGGTCTCGTACTGTATCTCATATCTTGTCAGTGTCATGCGCTTGCTTAGCTCTTTGTTGTGATAAACAGTAAAGTGTGTTCAGCTGAATTCAATTTCCGTTTTGTCAAATGGGTATAAAAAAGGTTAGTACACTGCGGTAGCGGTCGTGGTCGCGGCAGCCCTCGAGTGAAGACCGAAGAGTGTAAAGACCATCGACTCTACCGTGCGACTCCACAGTGCAGGGAAACAGACAAGGGACATAAGTATCGCTTTTGACTCAACCTCTTTTTTACACCTTTCTTCACTTCTGTTTCTGTTTTTATGACCAACTCTTACTATGTGTTTCCATATCCCTACTATTACTACCACTCGCAAACCACGCATCACACACTATAGGCAGCGCAATCCTATCTATTACTAGTCATTCAAGACTAAACCTCATGGCCCTGACAGAGACGTGGATCAAACCAGGGGGCACTGCTACTCCTGCAGCACTCTCCAATAATTTCTAATTTTCCCACACTCCCTGTCTAACTGGAAGAGGTGGAGGTACTAGTCTGCTTATCTCTAATGATTGGAAATTGATTCCATTACCTTCTCTGGGTATTAGCAGCTTCTTTGAATCACATTCAGTCATTATTACCCACCCTTTTAAAATCCATTTCGTAGTTGTTTATCGACCCCCAGGACCAGAAGGTAACTTCTTGGATGAATTAGATGTGCTGCTCTCAAACTTTCCTGAGGATGGTACTCCCCTAGTTATGCTTGGAGACTTCAACATCCACCTAGAAGGGTGTGGCGCAAATCAAAAAATACTACTGACCTTAATGTGTATCAGTAACTCTCTTTCTTCTCTGCTAATGTCTCCACTGCTAAAAGGACATACTATCATAACAAAATTAACAATTCGTTTAACTCTCGCATGCTCTTTAAAACATTTTCCTCCCTCCTTTAAAACCATCAGTGCACAATTTTCCAAACCACAATCTGGCAAGCACATCTTACCAGCAAACATACACTCGTTCACATCCTTCTCTTCACTCTCTGAGGCAGAAGTCTGCAAACTCATCCTTTCTAATCATCCTACTACTTGTCCGCTTGATCCTATTCCATCTCATGGAAGATCAGGCCCTTTCTTTCAGAACATGCAACACAACTCCTTGTTCAAGCTCTTGTTCTGTCCAGGCTGGACTATTGCAATGCTCTCTTGGCATCTCTTCCAGTCAGTTCTTTCAAACCTTTACAATTAATCCAGAATGCGGCAGCAAGATACATTTTTAATGAGCCAAAAAGAATGAACGTCACACCTCTGTTTATCAATTTGCACTGGCTACCAATAGCTGCTCGCATAAAGGCATTAATGTTTGCCTACAAAACCACCACTGGATCTGCACCCCTTTACCTAAATTCATTACTTCAGACTTATGTGCCCTCTAGAAGCTTGTGTTCTGCAAGTGAATGTCGCTTTATTGTGTCATCCCAAAGAGGCACAAAATCACTTTCATTTTTAAATTAAATGCTCCCTCCTGGTGGAATGACCTGCCCAACTCAGTCCGAGCAGCTGAGTCCTTAGCCATCTTCAAGAATCGGCTAAAAACACATATTTTCCATCTCTATTTGACCCTCTAACTCTAGCACTCTCTATTCTAATTCTATTCTTTATAGAAAAAAACTTGCCCCTTTTAGACTTGCACTCTGTTTATTTACTAACTGCTTGTTTTCTTAAAAAAATAAAAAATAAAATTTGCTTCTCTTATCTTTTTGTATTCTATCTATTTGTTTTCTTTTTATTTATTATACAATTAACAAAAGCAAAAAAATTTACAGAACAAACTGTAAATTTACAGTATAAATCTGTAATTTACAAACAAGAAAATTTGAGTGTAAACTAGTAAATTCACAATGCACACTGCTACTAAAATCTATTTTGTATCTTTAACATAAACTGACAACCACCATGATAATGCAGGTGGTAAAAGTGACAACAATATGAAGAATCAGTTCATCACAAGTAGCCTTTCCACAAGCTGAAGCATATACTAATATATAGAAGGCACACAGAGTCATTCACACAAACACTAAACACAATCATGGTAACACACGACTCTTAAATAATGCAATAATGCATTCATTAAACAACAGAAGATGTAACATAAACCCAAATGTACATAACTGATAACAAACATGACAAAACTATTAAGATAAACAAAATACTTTAAAATGTGGAGTGTCACGCAGGGAATTCTGGGAATATAAGTTTACAGTTTTTTTTACTGTAAATTATACGTTGATTTGTTATTTTTACTTATAAAACCTACTTCTTTTTTTTAAAAACTTTTTTTCTTCTTAACCTATCAACAGTTTTTTCCCAGTAGCATCTTTACAATATTTTACAGTTAAAATTACACTAATTTTTTACAGTGTATACATACTGCTCATCCAGGTAACTGAAACCATCTTAGCCAATCAGATTAGAGGACTGGAACTAACTTTTGTATAAATTAATTTCAGACACCTCCGAATTTCAATCGAACCTTACATCTTCTTTGATCAATGCACCAAAACAGATCAGGGCTGTGTTCCCAAAAGTGTTGTAAGCCTAAGTCAGGGGTCTGCAACCTTCAACCTCAAAAGAGCCATTTTGGCCCCTATCTGACCAAAAAAATTCACGTGGAGCCACAAAACCTATTTGATCCACAAAATAAAGATAACACAGCATATAAGTTTTATATCCCTGCAATATATAAAAGAACTATAGTTTGTTGCATTAATGAAACCATAGAACTACAAAAAGAAAACTATTGACATTTTATTGCTGTTTGAGACAAAGGAAAACAACAAACTCTTACGAACAGGAGCCACTGCAGAGGCATGAAAGAGCCACATGTGGCTCTGGAGCCGCGGGTTGCCGACCCCTGGCCTAAGTAGACCACTGAGACCATTGGCGTCAATGGTTTAGGGGCATCAAATTATGGAATGGTTTAACCCATATATATATATATATATATATATTAGGGCTGGCTCGATACCACTTTTTCAGAACCAATACCGATCCGATACCAAAATTTCTAAATATCTGCTGATACCGATTCGATACAAGCGCAGTTTTTTTAATCAGTGTAGCAATGACAGAATTTTAATTTTACAAGTACAGACGAATATTCAAGTCAAGTTGACGTAAACTCTTCTCTCCTCTGCGGCTGTCTATCATCCTCCATTCAGCGTTTAAACTGCGTGTCGCATTCGATTATGACAGTCAAGGCAATCGCACTCGGGTGTGGACCAAGCAACCGTACCGAGACCCAGCTGAAGAGGTGGTCTCGGTCAGCTTCCAAACGAACTCTGGTACGGTCCGTTTAAGGTGTGAATATGACCCGACCTCGATCTGACCCATTTGCAGAAATTGCGCTCAGAAACATACAGCTTGCGCATGTAGTGCTGTTGTTTGCGTTTCAATGGCTTAAATCACTTGTTTTTAAACCACAATGCTTAAAAATGCATGCAAATGAAGATTTTTTGTGACCATGGCGCACAGAAACGTGAACGTGCTAAATAGGCTAAAGCTTGCCGCAAAAGTTACCATGAATATGTTGGGGGGGAACTAATAAGAAGATTTTTGAATTATTTATTAATTAACTAGTGTTTTCTGAGTCAGTGTCGCAAAGATGAAATTGATGATCCTGACTTGCCATCATGGACGCGAAAAGAAAAGCTTCTTTACGGATTATATAATGAAAGAGTTTTTTTGGATTTGAATTATTTAGTTTTGTGGTCATTTAAAGCTTTCTATAGATATATTCAGTGTCAGGAACGCTTGTATGTAGTATTTGTGTAATTTCAGAGACTAAACTTACCTGAAATTAGTGAAAAAAAACAGTGAGAGACAGGAGTTGCTGCTGACAGTTGAGCTGCCGCCCCGTTTCCATGGTGACTTCCTCCGCTCCGGTTCAGCGCGCGCGCCCATTAAAGCACGTAGAAGTCACGCAGAATTTATAATATAATATAATAATAGCTTTAGAAATGGTAAACGTGGTGCAGAAATAACATTGAATTTTTTTTAACGCATGAATATTCGTACACATGTATCATGAGGAACAATTTTTAAGCTTTATATTTTATGTATTTTTAAAATATATTTTCAAAATATATTTTAATATATTCAACAGTGCTTCATGTCAAATGTCTAATCTATTTATTAGGGCTATGTGGTCCGAAATAAACGTGCTTCTGCTAAATTTGGACTAAATTAGACGGACCAAACAAAACCCCATTTTAAGTATATATTGTGTAAATAAATAATAAATAAATAGCTTTAAATAGCTTATGATTCATTTGGAAAATGCAGCACAATACAGTATCACTAGTGATTTATTCTAATTTGTTGATTTTTTTGGTTTTAATATCTGCATACACTACCTTTTCATTGACAGATATTTTGCTCTCTTTCTCTCTGTTAGGTACGTCTTGTTGCTCTTCATTCTGTTCTTCATCCCAGGTGTGGTGATGATAATTGCCTACGGTCTCATATCCAGAGAACTTTATAGAGGGATTCAGTTTGAACTGGAGCAGAAGAAAGACTCTAGTGGTATGAATAATTTTTTAAACCCCTCACACCACAATTTCATTTATCCCTCGAAGCACTGAGTTGCCTGAAGCATGCCTGTTCACTTTGATAAACTCGACTACAATGGATTAGTGCAATCTAAAAGGTTGCACTAATTCTGAATTGTTTACTGGGTATAGTTTTTGATTCAGTGCTTCCTGCAATCAGTCAAAAGTTGTCATGCCATCATTTGTGATATTTATTTATGGAAACTTTTTTTTTTTTTCATGATGCAAGTGCTGCGAGTGAGGTTACTGATTTTTTTGGGGGGTGGGGGTGGATTCTCAGAAACTCAACAGACTTTTCCGTTCTCTCTCCATTTGTGAGAGAGGCTGCTTGACCCATGTCTCCCATGGCATGGACTGAATGCACTAAGGTCATTCTGAGTACCTCCCTGGGCATTAAGGCTGTTGTGTGTGCACCAATGTACTGGATGCGAGTTCTCTCAGGGAGAAGCTTTAGACAACTTCAGTGAGGTGTAAAGAGGTACTTCTGGGGGCGTTTCAGTTAAAGACCTCCACAGGTACCTATTATTAGAAGTATTCTTCAAAAAGTACTATTTGTACCTGTCTTGTACCATTGCTGTGATCAAAAAATGAGGCTGGAAAAAGAAAATGAGAGTAAATAGTGAAGTTAATGTTTTGGAGAAATCCAAGTAGGGACATGCAGAACAAGGTCTTACGTATTTAAACAGGATACTGGTTATACATGTTGTAACTCCCTTGTATCAGGTGCATGCAGAATGTTACAAGATACTTTCTATATAAATGAGCTGATGCATCCTCCTTATGTTGTTGTGCCCTGGCAAACCCACATTATGCCATCTGCATTAAACCGCGGTGTCACTAGATTTTTCTGTTGTCTTTGGACAGCGCAATGAACAGGTTATGATCTCATGCTCTAGGAATTTCATGCTTAGTAAATAAGTAATAATAGTCCAAATTTGAAAATATACTGTATACTCTACTTTCAGCAGCACTGCAAACCTGCAGTTCAGAATTTTGTATATTTTATTTATATATGCAACTTTATTAAAACAAAATATATACACAAATATGTATGTTTATACATGTTTTTGTAATAAATATAGGTATACCTTGCTAGTACCAGATTGGACCTCATTTTGCCACATTGCAAAGGTGCTCAATTGGTTTGAGATCTGGTGACTATAGAGGCCATTTTAGTATAGTGAAGAAGAAACCAGTCAAGAAACCAGTCTGAGGTGATTTGAGCTTTGTGACATGGCACGTAATTCTGCTGGAAGTAACTATAACAAAATGGGTACACTGTGGTCATAAAAGGAAGGACATAGTCAACAACAATACTCAGGTAGGCTTTGGCGTTTAAATAATGCTCTTTTCGTACTGAAGGGGCCCAATGTATGCTAAGAAAATATTCCCCACAACATTACACCACCACCACTAGCCTGAACTGTTGATACTAGGCAGGATGGATCCATGCTTTCATGTTGTTTACACCACATTCTGGCGCCACCATCCGAATGTCACAGCAGAAATCGAGACTCAAAAGGCAACCTTTTTCCAGGCTTCTATTGTCCAGTTTTGGTGAGCCCTTGGGAATTGTAGCCTCCGTTTCCTGTTCTTAGCTGACAGGAGTGGCAGATAGTGTGGTGATCTGCTGCTGTAGATTGGCTATTTGAGTTACTGTTGCCTTTCTATCAGCTCAAACAAGTCTGGCCATTCTCCTCTGACCTCTTGCCCACAGAACTGCCACTCACTGGATATTTTCTCTTTTTTCGACCATTCTCTCTAAACCCTGAAGTTGGTTTTATGTGAAAATCTTAGTGGATCAGCAGTTTCTGAAATACTCAGACCAGCCCGACTGGCACCAATAACCATGCCACATTCAAAGCCACTTAAATCACCTTTCTTTCGCTTTCTGATGCTTGGTTTGAACTTCAGCAGATCGTCTTAACCATGTCTACATGCCTAAATGCATTGCTGCCATATGATTGGCTGATTAGATATTTACGTCAATGAGCAGTTGATCAGGTATACCTAATAAACTGGCCGATGAGTGTATGTTAATATATAAAATTGTTTAAATTTGTAATAGGTTTCATATATGTTTTTACTTCATATGACAATATATTTCATATATAGAAATGTAATACATTTACATACTGTATATTACAATTGCATATTAGCTTTGAATTCCTGACTGTGACGTTTAGGTCCTCTACTGGTCATAGGTCTTCTCATTATACAGATTCGAGAGTCAGAGTTCAGCGAACTTTCGTATGCAACGGAATGTGAAATTTCTTCTGCATTTCTCGTGTTCGCATGGGTATGAATAGAGTGCAAAGTCTAGTGTGACTGCAGCTAAACAGAAATACCACCAATATGATTTTGTAAAGAACACTTTCGCTTCTTTTATGTACAGGCGTAAAGAATGGGTTGAACAGCGCACTGTCTTCTGGCCATGATGAGAGTGATGGGTGTTATATCCAGGTCCCAAAGAAGCCCCCCGCTATGGAACTTTCTGCTCTGACCACCTCTGGCACCGTCAAGGCGGACCGTCCACGGAGCAACACCTCAGAGGCAAAGCTCATTGCCAAGAAACGAGTGATCCGAATGCTGATCATTATAGTTGCCATGTTCTTCGTATGCTGGATGCCTCTATACTCTGCCAACACCTGGAAGGCTTTTGACCAAAAATCAGCCCAGAGTGCGCTTTCCGGAGCTCCCATCTCCTTCATTCAGCTGCTGTCCTACACCTCAGCCTGTGTCAACCCCATCATCTACTGCTTCATGAACACCCGCTTCCGCAAGGCTCTCTTGGCCACCTTTGGGTGTTGCAGGCGGCCGTGCCAGAACCGGAGGAAGAGGAGGGAAGGTGATGATGAGATCACTGGAGTCACAGGGGCGTCCATAACAAAGTTCAGTTATACCACTGTTAGCACGGTAGGGCTGTGTTAGCATTAGCATTGCAGGTTTTTTGTGACACGTACTGCTTGTTTAAGAGTTCAGATCACCAGATGTGTTCTTCTTTTTCATGGTGTCAACATGCTTTGTTCAATGTGTCATTTTTTATTTGGAAAATAATACCTCATTTGTCTGTTCTTTCTGCTGTAAACTGTCTTTCTGTGGTTGTGTCTTCAATTTATTTCATTGTGATACAATCAAAAGGTGCGGTACACAGGATGTGCAAATATGTAGCTTTATATTTATTGTGTAAGATCTTTAGAGAACTCTTCAGAGGATGATCTTATCATGCATGGGAAATGTACATAGAGAAATACCATATAAATATTCTTGTATCTTCGATGTTATGGAACCAAATACTGCATGTTGCATGATCAAACAAAAGACTACACTTGTAGATAGCTGCTTTCCGGCTACAAAATGGTACATTTTATTGTCTATTTTGAGTGTTGTGATGTATCGTCTGTATTTTGTTCTCCGTTTTGTTAGATTTCTATAATGGCATCTTTGACTTAATGAGCTTTGCTTAAATGGCACCACTGAGAGTCCTTCTTTTGTATATTCTGATAATGACAGATGGTTTTGTAGAAGACAATGTTTAATTTGTGCTCCTTCTTTTCTGATGCACATGTCCTACAAGTTATCCTACATGAGGATGTATCAGGTGGGCAAGGCAATTCAGTCTTCAACAGAATCAACAGTCTCTTGGAAATCTTCACCCCAGTTGAAGTGATGCCATGGTCAGTACTGCCAAGCTGCATGACAGGTTGGAATTTTTAACGCCTTGGCACTGGAGATTATGATATAAAAGGAAAATAATAAACTGTAGAGGGAAGTTTGATGTGATTGCCTTGGAGGCACGAATGTTCTAACAACATTCTAGACAATCTCACAAAAAAAAAAAAAAAAAAAAGATTTCAGTCAATCTCAAATTGCATTGCTCTAATCGATTTCTTCCTTATTGCTGAAGCTAATGAGACACCTGGGATATTCGGCTTCTCGTCTGGCCCCAACGAACCCTCTCTGAATATATGAAAGGAGATAAGCTCTTGTTTGTGCTGAAATTAATTTATTCAGCGGTTCGTGCTAAACGTGAAAGCTGGATCTGCACAGCGAAACCGAAAGTGTTTTAAGATTCAACCTCAAAATGATTGATCGTTCATGAGATGTTTGTGTGCTTATACTTGGTTCATCTTGTTATCCACTGAATTGTTAAAATGCCTGAATGGCCATATTTTATACAAGAAACCCTTAAAAAAAATTTTGTTACTTTAAATAAACATTAATTGAAAATACAATTTTAAATGCCAAGGCAATATTTCTCATTTTAATTTAGTAGTAACCTGATGTAGCCAACAAAAAAAAAAAAAAATACAAATAAAAACTATACAGACATATACAAAAACCCTCCCAAAAACTAATAGAAATGACAAAAACCCACCACAAAATTAGCAAAACTTCAACTAAAATTACAATTATGAGACTTGTAAAAGCAGAGAACTGTACAGTGGCCAAATGCTCCTTTTATAAGAATTATCCGGATTCATCAGCATTAAAATGCAGGGTAGAACTGGGAGGGGGAAATCCTGCCCATACCCAGCTACTTAAATGTGTTACTTTTTCTGCCAACATAAATATGCAAATTGCATAAAATTATTAGTGAAAGAAGCCATCTCTCTATCTCTCTGTTTCACCTTTCTTCCCACCTCTCTTGATTACAACTCCCTTCTTGCAATTTTTCTTTTCATTGATCAGTTTTCCCTCTCTCTATTTCCTCTAAAGGATCACCTGTGTATGTGGCAGACCTATATCAAACCCAAGTCTTGGGGACAAACAGAGAGTGTTATTTCTCATTCAGGCACACAACCTGCCTGCTAAGCAGCTGCTGTTATTTCTCTTGGTGTCAGGGACATCTGCCAAAAGCGACACAGAAAGTTGAACTGGTTTTTCTTCCAGGTTTGTTTTGTTTGAGTAGATAGATAACATAAGTCTGGACCAGGGCCAGCGCTACCTATTAGAGCAGGCAATTGCCTAGGGGCCTCGACCTTTGAGGCGGGGCCTCCATTACCACAACATCCCCTATATGCTAGTCCACCAGTCAAGACAGGCAGCAAAATACTAGCCTCGTTGTTCATTGGATAAAGTTGAATTGTCACTCACCTGAAATTAACCAATTAATGTTGCCATTTCTAAGCGGGTCCCACCTTCTGAATGTTTGCCGTAATGAACACATCCTTCAGGTGCTGCGAAGCAGAAGTGAAGTGTGGCCAAGTATGGTGTCCCATATTCAGAATTTGCCTTGCTCAAAGGTCTCGCCTTAGTCATGGTATTGAAGGTGGAAGAGAGTGCTGGTTATTCACTCCCCCCACCAACAATTCCTACCGGACCTGAGACTCAAACCCGCAACATTTGGGTTACAAGTCAGACTCTTTAACCATTAGGCCACAACTGCCCCAACTGCATTTACTGTGCATTTTACATAAGACTAAATATGCATGCAAAGAAGTTAAGCTCCTAATGCAGGTGTGTGAGTTGTCGTCATCTGTTTTGGAGTGATTGAAATGTATTCTAAATATAAACATGTTCTGTCGATCAGCGTAATTTCTGGACAGATCATTAACCGGTTCATTACGAGTTTAAAAGAGCGCGAGCACTGACGCGCCCAGACGCGACGCTTTGAATTTGCGCGTACAATGAATGACACTGCGTCATTCGTTTTTTATGTTGAAAAGTACCTCAGAAGTATGTCTCATCAAAATTCTGCTGATGATTGCTGCTCTACCATAAATTTCTAACTAGAAATTAACTTATTTTCTGCTAAGTAGTGATAGTCTATTTCACTTTCACTTGATTTGTGTATTTAGTGCATATTTAAGGTAACAATGCAATAAATAATATCATATTATTAATAATGTTATGACAATATCTGTTTCTGTCAAATATCTGTCAATATTGATTAAATGGGAGGGGGAAATCCTGCCCATACCCAGCTAGGAAAAAAATGATAAAAGCACTGATGTGCTTTTACTGAAGTGGTATTCGGGAACTGTGAATAAATTACTGACCGAATTACAATCAATCAATAAATAAACAAACAAACAAACAAACAAATAAATAGCATTTTAACCAATGCAACAGTGTTTTTAATAAACATGTTTGTACTGTGGTGAAGAATGAAGCTTATAGACTTCAACTGATTCAAAATTGTGATGGTGTAAAGTGGCAAATCCCTTGTCAAATAATAAGGAGGTAAACAGAAATATTAAATCACTGTAATTCTGCTATATTATCACAAACGGATTGCAACAAAGCATACATTCAATACCACAATCTAACCTATACAGTATATGACTTATTGGAATTAAGATGGCATCAATCAACAAAACCACTTTTGACTTCCACACGTAATATTAAGAGTGGTCTAAATCATCTTCTGCCATGCTATAATGTGCTACACAGACAGAAAGACAACCAACATTAGTCAACCAACAAATGGAACACTAACCACCAAAACAAATTGTTCAAAGAAACAATATCAGCAACCTTCAATGAAGCTAAACATCTGCTAATCGTATTAATATACATTAAGAGTTTATTATTATTAGTTACATCTAAAGATGTATTATATTTGCAGTTGATTTCCATCGAAGTCTGTGTGGCTGTAAATCTGCTTCAGTCTTGTTCTCTTTTTTCTGTTCTTCTTCTTCCGCTCTCCTTCACTAGACTTTGTTCAAAAACATCAGGTGTCATAACTAATGGCCAGTCATCATTTGTAAAGTGAAGCTTATTGATTAATTAACTGCATGGATAGTTCAACAGTCAACACTACAGGGTGTAAATCCTACACTGCTTCAGTGTTAGTTTTTATCACCTGTGGGTGAGACTCATATGTACACCAAGCGGTGTACATTTAACACCAGGATTTTGCTGTGTTATAATATCACGGCTATAACAACATCCTCAACAAACAAAAAAGAGATTACCTTAGATAAAGTTAGATTAATATTTACAGTACCGGTCAAAAGTTTGGACACATTACTATTTTTAATGTTTTTGAGTCTCTTGTACTCAACAAGCCTGCATTTATTTAATCAAAAATACAGAATAAAAAAAAAACAGTAATATTCAGCAAGGTGTTAAATTGCTAAAAAGCGATCATAAAGACTTATATTGTTATAAAATATTTCTATTTGTTTTTACATTTTTTTAACACATTTTTAATCATCAAAAAAAAAAAAAATCCTGAAAAAAAGTATAACAGGTTATAAAATAAATATTAAGCAGCACAATTGTTTCTTACATTCATAATAAATCAGCATATTAGAATGATTTCTGAAGGATTAAATGCCACTGATGACTGGAGTAATGATGCTGAAAATTCAGCTTTGCATCACAGAAATAGATTATATTTTAAAATATAGTAAAATAGAAAACCATTATTTTAAATTGTAATACTATTTCACAATATTACTGTTTTTTTCGTATTTTTGATCAAATAAATGCAGGCTTGATGAGCATAAGAGACTTCTTTCAAAAACATTACTGTATAAGTAAAAATATACAAAATTTAAAATTAAATCTTTTATAAATAAAAAGGTTAGGAATTGTTAGGAATTTGTTTCAAGTGCTTTTTATTGGGGGTGGGGGGCCTCCAACATGAATTTTGCCTAGGGCCTTCAAATGTCCAGAACCAGCCCTGGTCTGGCCAAGTGGCCATTCATTTCTAATCGCTACAACTGGATATGAACCTGTTTCCAAGACAACCATTCATACAAGGGTTTGATTCGGACTGAACGCAACAAATAACAAATAGAAAGCTACCTGAATAAATAAATAACAAAGCAAAGAATTACATGGAAATAGCTTTAGATAATCAGTCAAATAACAAAGAACAGAAATTCATCTATTATCAAGCTGGACATGTAGTGCAGTGTAATGAAAGTGCCACTTTTGATGTTTGGCTGCTAGGTTAAATAAGAAGTGTCACACCTTCTGACCTTGTTCAGATAAAGATTGCTAATATTTTCTAACATGCTTCTGGTGTCTACTGTGGCAGATGTAAACGAGCACTAACAGACTGATACTTATGCAGCGTGTCAAAGTTTGTCTGCTCTTGATTGTTCTCTATGAGGAATTATCCTCGGCTTGTTATAGAAACAGAAATGTGTTGTGTATTTCTTTGGAGTGCTTTGTGATCTGAACCAAAGCATTTAATATTAAACAATTAAATATATGTATTGTCCTTAGGGTTTATGTTTGAACATCTTTGTAAATACAATAGTTCACTTCTATTCTGTACTGATATTATATGATAAATCTCTAAATATAAATATCAAATAATTTAAAAATCACACTATGAGATTATTTTTTTGTAATAGATACATGTTTCCAAATAAGCCTCACAAACAGCAAAATACCAAACAGACAACAGCAACAAAACAATACACATCCAAGTGGTACTCTTCTGCAGCATAGAGGATTGTGGGACTTTTAGTTCAGTACCATATAAAACATAATTAAGTGATAAGGAAAAAGGTTGTTAAAATGCAGTGTATTGGCTAAGACATCACGTTGCACCATGGCCACCACCATAGCCTTAAATGAGCAAGATAAATGTATAAGCCTGTGTGTGTGTGTGTGTGTGTGTGTGTGTGTATGCATAAATGGGTGAGATACAGCGACAGGCAATTTAGAACTTTCAAGATAAATGTTCACAACCCAACACATGGCATATTCCATCCTGTCTGTCGTTGTATGTTAAATTATACTTTTAACAAAATTAAATTGCATAAGCATAACCATTGATTGTATTGTTAGGCCA